TCGATGCGCACGTACTGGTAAGGACCATTCTCGTTGCCCTCATAGCCGTACCACTCTCCCTTTCGTTTCCATTGCCTACTCTCCTCTTCGAGATAGGTGAGATAGGTGATCTCCCCGTTGATGCTCAGTGTGTATGGTCACATGAGAGCTCCATCTCATCATCCTACTTTCCTCTCGAACTGCGCCGCGCGATTTCTCACGAAAGTGGTCTGCGCAAGCTGCATTGTTCCAGGCTGCTGCGCGCAAGTTGCTCTCTGCAAGCTGCTGCGCGCAAGTGCTCTGTGCAAGTTGCTCTGCGCAAGTGCTCTGAGCAAGTTGCTCTGCGCAAGTGCTCTGCGCCAGTTGCTCCGCGCAAGCGCTTTGCGCATGTGCTCTGCGCAAGTTGGTCTGTGCAAGTTGCTCTGCGCCTGCTCTGTGCAAGTTGCTCTGCGCAAGTGCTCTGAGCAAGTTGCTCTGCGCAAGGGCTCTGCGCCAGTTGCTCCGTGCAAGCGCTTTGCGCATGTGCTCTGTGCAAGTTGGTCTGTGCAAGTTGCTCTGCGCAAGTGCTTTGTGCAATTGCTCTGTGCAAGTTGCTCTGCGCAAGTTGCTCTGCGCAAGTGACTCTGCGCAAGTTGCTCTGCGCAAGTGCTGCCGGATCCACTTCTGCTGCTGGGAATAAGTCTTGGGTTGTTGGGCCACTGGGTTGTTGGGCTACTGGGCTGTTGGGCTGTCAGGGTTGTTTGACTGTTGGGTTCTACTAGTGCTGCTGGGAGCAAGGCTTGTGGTTGGGTTAGGCTGTTCTTGGGTTGTTGGGCTACTGGGTTGTTGGGCTGTTGTTGCTTTTTGCTGTTTGGCTGTTGGGCTGTTGGGCTGGTGGGCTGGAAGGTTGTTTGACAGTTGGGTTCTATTTCTGCTGCTGGGATTCATGTTTGTAATTGGGTTAAGTTGTTCTTGGGTTGCTGGGCTACTGAGTTGTTGGGCTGTTGTTGCTTTTGGCTGTTGGGCTGGGGCTGTTGTTGGGCTGGTGGGCTGTTGGGCTAATGGCTGTTGGGCTATTGGGTTGGGCTGTTGGGTACTTAAAAGTTGCGATTCTCCAGCCGGAACTGCGGGGGTGTGCTCCGTACTACGTTTGTACTTAAAAGTTGCGATTTTCCAGCCTGAGCTGCGGGAGCACGCTGCGCATACTACGTCTGTACTTAAAAATTGCGATTTTCCACCCGACGCTGCAGGAGCACTCTCCACGTACTACGTTGCGATTTTCAAGCCGGAGCTGCGGGGGTGTGCTCCGCGTACTACGTTTGCACTTAAAAGTTGCGATTTTCCAGCCTGAGCTGCGGGAGCACGCTCCGCACACTACGTCTGTACTTAAAAGTTACGATTTTCCAGCCGGAGCTGCAGGAGCACGCTCCGCGTACTACGTTTGTACTTAAAAGCTGCGATTTTCAAGCCGGAGCTGCCGCGGACCAGGGGGGAATCGAACCCGCGACCGCGGGATTGCGAAAGCAGGCGCGCAAACCACGAGACAACTTCCAAAGGCCGTTTCGCGAGCAAGAATATTGCACGGCGCCACAGCGAGAGCGCTTCGACACGCACAATCTCCGCAGAGGGTTCGCCGAGACTAAGACAAATTCGCACGGCGCCACAGCGAGAGCGCTTCGACGCGCACGATCTCCGCAGAGGGTCGCGCGCGCACCGCAGAAATCGTAAAAAGTCCTCAGTTTTTGAACCTCGACCACGCGAATCTCCGCAGAGGGTCGCGCGCGGCCAGCAGAAATCGTAAAAAGTCCTCAGTTTTTGAACCTCGACCACGCGAATCTCCGCAGAGGGTCGCGCGCGCATGCTAAAAATCGTAAAAAGTCCTCAGTTTTTGAACCTCGACCACGCGAATCTCCGCAGAGGGTCGCAATCCCGAGCGACGATCAAACTCCCGCCCCGGCGCCTTAGAAACCTAAACTAACTTACATAGCTGCTAACGCCGAAGCTCTAAGCTCTACCTAACCTTGGCTCTATGTAACTTGGCTCTATGTAACTTGGCTCTATGTAACTTGGCTCTATGTAACTTGGCTCTATGTAACTTGGCTCTATGTAACTTGGCTCTATGTAACTTGTCCAAGGGCTCCGCACGGAAGAACCCTTCGCGATGCTTTTGGCAAAAAAACTCAAATCCAACACTAAATCAAAGGAACACATGAGTCAAAATCTCAAGAGAAAGACTTGGCAACAAACAATCACATGAAACCCAAACCCAACACTATAAATCAAAGGGACAAATCGTTATCAAAGGAAGTTTAGAAGGAACTTCCGTGTTAACGGATACTATTTGCAGGTAGCTTGCGCAAAGATGAGATATAGGAAGAATAGATGCATGCGAGAAAACATGCGTGCGCGTGTGGCGGGGGAGTAGAAATCGCGAAAAAGAGCAACCCTCTGCGGGTTTTGGCTTCTCCGGCTGGCTGAAAGCTACCCTGGTCGCGACGCCTGTCCGACGACGGTCTCGGAGCGGGTTCGGAACGGTCTCGGAGCGGGGCCCACTGTAACAGCAACACGGAGGTTTCGCAGGGTTTGAATTTCGTGGCAGGCGCAGCATTTTGGCAAGGTCGGGTACAGGTTTCGTGGCAGGCGCAGCACTTTCGCAAGGTGAGGTACAGATTTCGTGGCAGGCGCAATACTTTCGTGATCGAAGGTACGATTACATTTTTCCAGTTGCAGCTCAAAAAATCGCAAAAGTTAAGTACAAAAGTAGTATTCGAAGTACACTTCTCCAGCTGCAGCCCCAAAATAGGAAAAGTCAAGTACAAAGGTAGCTTTTGAAGTAGATATTTTGATGAAGCAAGCTAGATAGATAGATAGATAGCTAGATAGACAGCCTGATAGATAGCTACATAATTAGATAGCTAGATAGATTGCTAGACAGACACAGTGCCAGATAGATAGATGGATAGATGGCAAGATAGCTAGATAGCTAGACAGAGAGATAGAGAGATAGAGGAAGATAAATAGATAAATAGGTAAGACAAATAGATAGGTAGATAGATAGATAGCTACCTAGATAGATAGATAGACAGACAGATAGACATATATAGATAAATAGATAGGTAAGTAGATAGATAGATAGAGAGATAGAGAGATAGAAAGATTGATTGATTGACAGGTTGATACATAGATAGATAGATAGATAGATAGATAGACAGATAGAGACATAGAGGGATGGACAGATAGGAAGGAAGGAAGGAAGGAAGGAAGGAAGGAAGGAAGGAAGGAAGGAAGGAAGGAAGGAAGGAAGGAAGGAAGGAAGGAAGGAAGGAAGAACGAAAGAAAGAAAGAGAAAGAAAGAAAGAAAGAACGAAAGAAAGAAAGAAAGAAAGAAAGACAGACAGACAGATAGGTAGATAGAGAGGTAGTAGAGAGATGGATACATAACTAGCTAGCTAGCTAGCTAGATAAACGGATACATAGATAGGTAGATAGATTGATAGATTGATTAGATAGATAGAAAGATAGATAGATAGATAGATAGATAGATTAGCTAGATAGAGAAATAGAGATATAGATAGATAGATAGATAGATAGATAGACAGACAGACAGACAGACAGACAGATAGATAGATCGATACATAGATAGATAGATGGATGGATGGGTGGATAGATAACTGGATAGCTAGATGGATAGATAGATAGATAGAGAAGAGAACAGCGCAAAAAACGCAGCAAAAGAAAGACCGACGGAAAAGACAGAAAATCAAGAACGAAAGGAAAGAAAAAAGGACGGGAAGAGAGAAAGAAAGAAAGAAAGAAAGAAAGAAAGAAAGAAAGAAAGAAAGAAGGGAAACACACAGTCGTTCCTATAGTGGTATACTGTTTTGAAACTTCCGCCTCCCGGCTTCGCCGGCTATACTGGTAATCTCAAAAGGAAGACTTAGCAACAAACAACCACATGAGACTCATGTCAAATCCAACACTAAATCAAATGGACACATGCGTCCAAATCTCAAAAGGACGACTTGGCTACAAACCATCACTTTGAAACTCAAACCCAACACCAAATCAATGAAACTAATTCGTTCAAATCTCAAAAGGAAGACTTGGCAACAAACAATCACAACACTAAATCAAAGAAACATGCGTCCAAATCTCAAAAGAAAGACTTAGCAACACAAATCACATTAGACTCAAATCCAACACTAAATCATATGGACACACGCGGCCAAATCTCAGAAGGAAGACTTGGCAACAAACAGTCACATCAAACTCAACTCCAATACTAAATCAAAGGGACAAATCGTTCAAATCTCAAAAGGAAGACTTAGCAACAAACAATCACATGAGACTCAATTCCAACACTAAATCAAAGGGACACATGCGTCCAAATCTCACAAGAAAACTTGGCAACAAACCAGCAAACAATCACATGAGACTCAAATCAGATCCAACACTAAATCAAATGGACACATGCGTCCAAATCTCAACAGGAAGACTTGGCAAGAAACCATCACGTGAAACTCAAACCCAACACCAAATCAATGAAACTAATGCGTTCAAATCTCAAAAGGAAGACTTGGCAACAATCAAACACACGAAACTCAAATCCAATACTAAATCAAAGGGACACATGCGTCCAAATCTCAAAAGAAAGACTTGACAACAAACAATCACATGAAACTAAAATCCAACACTAAATCAAAGGGACACATGCGTCAAAATCTCAAAAGGAAGACTTGGCAAAAAAAACAATCACGTGAAACTCAAACCCAACACCAAATCAATGAAACTAATTCGTTCAAATCTCAAAAGGAAGACTTGCCTGCAAACAATCACATGAAACAATCACATGAGACTCAAATCTTGGCAACAAACAATCACATGAAACTCAAATCCAACACTCAATCAAAGGGACACACGCATCCACAGTGAGCATGAGGCAGTTGTGGTGCTTGCCGCATGGCTCTTTGATCGGTGGCATCTCTTTGAGCTGCATGCTCCAAATCTGGTCGAACACCGATTCTTCGCACTGAGGCCGGCGCAGTCCGTGGCGGACCCTCCAAGAAGCGGCCGCGCCAGAGCTCAAAGTTGCCCATGCCCACTGCCGGCTTGCCGCGGTAATGGGAGCCCCAGTGCCTTCCAAATTTCGGACACTCGTGGCACCATGTGGCACCATGTGGCACCATGTGGCACCATGTGGCACCATGTGGCACCATGTGGCACCATGTGGCACATGGCGCACCTGTAGTAGCGTGGGCCAGGAGGTCGCTCTGCCGGCTTTTCGGGCCGAATCTTGGCCCAAGTCCTATCGCGGCATGTTGCGCTTCGGCGCGTTTCGCGTTTCGCGTTTCGCGCGCAAAAAGGCGCCACTTGGTCCCACCTGGCCGTGGCCATGGCCAAGCTGAATTCAGCGCAGTGCAACTAGTTGTTGTGAGCAAACTGGATGCCGCTGAAACGAAAACGAAATCATTGACAAAACCATCATCTGAAATCCAGTGAATTCATAAGGAGCCAAGGCTGGGGCGACTCATCTTGCAAGTTTGTGCTTTTAGTAAGCTATCCTTGCTGCTTTTCAAGCTATCGTTCGCCTCGCGGGTCTCCCAAGCGAGGGCGCTTGGCTGGAAACTCTGAAAGCTCCAGCACCTCGTCCGCCTCTTCCTCTTCCTCTTCCTCCTCTTCCTCTTCCTCCTCCTCTTCCGTGGCAATCGCATGGAAGGTGCGTCTCAGCTCCGCAAGGGACGCGGCCAAGATCTCCCTTTGACCCGCGCAATACACCGCAGCGTGGTCCGTGCCCGTGTCCGCCTCCGAGGCCGCCGGCAAGGCCTGCAGCTTCCTCTGCAGCTGCTGCTCCAGGATGCGGAAGACTTCCCGCTCGCAGCCGGGGTCCGAGAGGTCCGAGGAGCCCAGGCTGTCCAGGTCCGAGCCCGAGTTGCCCGTGCCGTCCGACCTGAATTTGCTGAATTCGCTGAACTCGAGGCGTTGCTGGCGTTGGCATTCGCGTTCGTGTTGCTCCAGCTGCTTCTCCAGGGCCGCGGGGCGCAGACACAGCAGCCGCAGCAGCCGCAGCAGCTTCGTCGGGAGCGGCCGGGCCAGCGACAGCTCGTGCACCTCGTCCAGCTGCAGTTTGGCGGCGCGCAGGGCCCGCTGCCGCAGCTCCAAGGCCGGCCAGGGCGCCGCATTCCCCGCATGCCCCGCGCTGAGCCTCAAGGGCACCGAGTCCAAGAAATTCCGAGGCACGCAGAAGCCATGGCCCAGCAGCAGCTGCAGATTGGAGCGCGCGCCGTAATTGATAAAATACTCCTCGCCGGCTGCCACTGCGCACGCCTGAGAGATGCCCAGGTGCACCTGGCCATCACGCATGCAGAGCCCTAGCTTCATCTGCACGGAGCTGTGATTGGCTGAGTCCAGCAACGGGCAGAGCATCACTTCCGGGCAGTCCATCACCAGGCGCCGACTCTCCTCCTCCGTCAGCGCCAGCGGCGTCTCGCTTGCCGCGTTGCATGACTCCTCCGGGTTAAGCCAAGCGGGCTGCGAGAAGCACCGGGAGGCCAGGGCGGAGCGCGCCCAGCAAAAGGCCTCGAAGCCAAAGCGCTCCTGCGCTCTGGAAATTCGGAAAGGAGAACGAGACGAGACAAACGACACAATCACAGCAACTCAAGGCGGCTCAAGGCACAGATCGGCTCACAAAAACTCAAAAAGAGCTAAAGAGACAGACTTAAAGAAACTCATGGAAACTCATAGAAACTCACAAAGACTGAAAGATGAGTCAGAAATCGCCGCTGAGAATCCTCTTCGCGACTCCTGGGCTCATCTTTGATGGCAAACTTCGTGGCTCGCCTCTTGAATCCAAGATCGATTTTCTTGCTGCGTCTCGCACGCTTTCGACACCCACTCGTGTAGCGCAAAGGAAAAGCAGATTGTCTAGCCCCGCCCCTCATGCGCTAATTCTACACGGTCTCCCGGCGAACGCGATGTTCATGTTGCGTTGCTGCTCATTCAAGACCTCCAGCATGTTGCGATGTTCGCCAACGACCCCTCGCGTCACGTCTTTCCCCCTTCTCACGAATAAAATTGTCGCCCCGCTTCTGCTGGCCGTGTCAGTGCTTCAACAGTCCCTCAAAACGCTTGTTTTCCGGCCCCCTGCTATCCCACGGTGATGATGTATCTTGGTCACTGGCGGCAGGCGGCGCAACCCTTATGTGCGATAAACTAGAAACTCATCAAGAAGACTCAAAAAGACAAAACAACCAAAAACAATCAAGGCGAGTAGGCAAATCAAGAAGACTCAAGGAAATCAGAGAGATTTAAAGAGATTCCAACACAAAGGGAAAAGTATCAAGGATATTCAAAGAGCATCAAGCAGAAATTAAGAGAATCAACCAGACTTAAACAAAAAGAGCCAAAGAGCAACAAGGAGAATCAAGGAGGTTCACAAAGACTCCAAGATTCAAAGAGATTCAAAAAGGCTTACCAACAAAGAAAAACAAGGGTTCGCAAAGAGAATCAAGTATCCGTCGCGGGCACTAGTTCCCGGCTACGCAACACAAACATAAGCAACTGTGGGGGCCGATCCTGACGCAGCACCAAACCAAAGCCGGTCGCCAGGGTACGAATTCCCAGGCGCCCAAGCGCCTGGCATGTTTAGTAACAAACACCTCCTCGCAGGAAGGGCGGGTCACTGGGGCACAAGGGGCCCTTGCAGGCAAACAGAAGCATCTGGCATGGCCACTTGGGACATTTCAATCGGCCGGGCAGCAAGAGCAGGGGAAGAAATCAGCGTGTAGCGCGCCTGGTCAGAGTTGTAGGGGGTTGTTATCGGGTGACAAGCCTTGAACACGCGGGTTTTGATTCCAAGGAAAATATCAAGAATCAGGGTACAATTCAAAGGGCCTACAATAGGCAAAAGAATTAAAAAAGCATTTGCTGTGTCTACTTTGTAGGGATCAAACAAAAGGAAAGAATTCGACATTGTGGGAGGCAACAAGGTAAGAAACTCTGGCTGGACACAACAGCCATACGCAACCACCACAGCACAAGTTCCGCGTCAGCAGTTCAAGTAATCAGCATCCGGCGTGCAGAGGGGGTCAGCGGGCGCCAAACACTTGCTGGACACAAGAATGGGCTGTTATTCTGGGTAAAGACTCAAGAAGTATCCAATATGTCCACGTTGCTGCGGGTCAAAAAGTACAAGCAATCATAGAAAGAAGCAGGGCAAAGGGCGGCTAAGAAACCAGCATTCTGGAATATTCTGGATGTCTACATTGTAGGGGGTCAGTCTGGCGGCTGGCGCGGCTGGCGCGGATGTCGCGGGCGGCGCGGATGTTGCGGGCGGCTCGGACGGCGTGGGTGGCGCAGGCGGCGCGGGTTGCGCAGATGGCGCGGCAGATGTGCATCCCGCCTGCAATGGACTCAAGAAGGCAAAATGCAGGAGTATGAAAGGGAAGCAAGGCGAATCAAACAGAATCAAAGAGAATCAAAGGCTCTTTAGGACAGGCAACATTGCGCAGGCGCCATCGGCTACACATGTCTCCCGGGCCCAGCCCAAACTTTCCACAAAGCACTTGACACCGTTTTGGACCGGCACATGAACATCATACTTCTTGAATTCTCGTGTTTTTCAGGTTTTGATGGGGAACATCACCAAGGTTCTCCAGGAAATCTGAGACGCAATGTGTTGTCAGGAGAAACATGTGTGGCTTCCCAATCCGCAGTCCTGGTCTCGCCCTCTTTCTTGCTCTTTCTTGCTCTTTCTTCTCTTCTTGTGTTTTCCAAGTCTCCTCGGGGAAGAGGTGGGGCATCTCGCGGCTCAAGGCGGGGAAGAGCGCGCCGTGCACCGCGCGCAGCTGGGCCTCGTGGCGGTCGGCGTCGTGCAGGAGCTGAGTCCCCGCCAGGCGCTGCCGGCGCTCGCCGGGCGCCCACCACAGAGGGTCCCCGTGGCGCCACGGGATCTGTCGCAGATACTCGTGCCACGCAGACGACGCCTTGGAAAGGGAAAGAGTGAAAGTGGAAAGCGAAAGAGTGTGAAAGAGTGAAAGTTGAGCTAAGGAAAGTTAAGGAAGTTGAGAGTTTTTCCGAACTTTCCCCAGCCTCGTGCCTCCCATGGATCATCACCAAGTACATCAGCGCTTGGGCACTGACGCGACCCTGGCCTTCAAGTCTTCGGAGCAGAGCTTGGCCCACGACAGACCTGGCGGCGGCCGGAAGCGTCAGCACGCAGCCCACAGGGACGGAGACGACTTCGCCCGCGGCGATGGGCTGGGTGGCCAACAGCCCACACCCCAAGCCGGGATCTTCACTCCGGAACACCCGGACCTTCAAGGTGCCTTCAAACTCATTTCGTTCATTTCGTTCATCGCCTTTGCCCTGAGCTTTGCTTGCTTTGCCAAGAGAAGCGCACCACACGTTGAAGCGCTTGATATCGCTGTCATCGCCTTTCATCACGTGAGCGCGTGCATCTCCATTTCCAGAAACCTTTAAACTGCTCGAGTGCAATCTTGAGAATAGAGCCTCACATGAAACCAACGTGGATGCTAAGAAGATGTTCCTCTCAAGAGCAAAATACGTAAGCGATGATTTTCTTCTTGACGCGGGCACATCGGCGCCGCAGCTTAGCTGCTGGGGCGGGGAAACATCTGCTTAACTCTTCCTAGTTCGCCAACGTGGCTAGGAAATCATCTCATCGCACGGCAGGGCCAAGAGGAACGGGGTGAGGCCTTTGTCCAAGCAGCCCGCGCGTCCAAACTGCCCAGCAGCTCAGGGCGCTGCTTACGCATGTGCTCAAGCACCGCTCCCTTCACCTGAGCCAGTTGAACACTCCAGGCTCATCTCTTCTTTTTTTTGCAGCGAGGCCTCGTGGCCATCTCTTCCTCGTACTCCACTTCCACTCGGGCCTTGCGCCTGCGCGTGAACAGCGTCTGCTGACTCCGCTTCCAAACATTACATTCCCACACGCAAAACATCGTGTCACACTGTCATGTCATTGCATGGCAACACTCGACGCTACACCGTGTCAAGCCACAATGCTCGATGTTACTGCGCGTCTCTTCCTTGGACACAAACCTGTTTTTGCTACATTACGCTTGTGATTTGCGAGCACGCCGCAGACTACAAATGGCACCGTAGAAGTATCCGCTTCGGCCCCTGGCCCTGGGAC